AGGTAATCGTATCGATAGTTTTGATAACAAGGTTTCACATCCGAATTCGAGCAAATAATCTTGCAAAATATCATTAAAAATAAAGAGCAGGAATGTTCTAGTTATTGTGGAAATGTGGCAGTTTTTTGGGCTGCCTAAAGAGTAATCGTGATCTCGAAACCAAGCTTGTTTCATTGTTTGTGTCCTTGATAAAAACATTTTAGCGTTTGTCTGTCTCCATCCAGCACTCGAGTAAAAATTGGTACACGGTAGGAGATAATGTTCGGGATGGAACTTGTGCGCAGTGCTGAACTGGCTCCCCATGGAGCGGGGGAAGTTGCACATTGCGTACGAAATTATTGGTACCGGCCCGTGTAAGGTTAGTAACGTTTATTAATGCATTAATAAATTAATCTTGTTAATATAATATAATATGAAAGTGGAACAATGAAGTATCAAAACGTCACGTCAAGTAGTTGTAATTTTGGTTCATTTAAAATGATTCATATCATTCTTCCTTACAAATACCTTTTTTGTTGTAAATTAAAGTCTTAAAAATGATAAAGTTATACTGGTGATAATGACAATAGTAATAAGGATTATAATAATAATAATAATAATAATAATAATAATAATAATAATAATAATAATAATAATAATTATTATTATTATTATTATCATTATTATCATTATTATTATGTTAATAAGGATGATGATAATAATAATAATAATAATAATAATAATAATAATAATAATAATAATAATAATAATATAATAATAATGTCAATTATGATGATGGATGACGATGATGATAAAAATGATGATTATGACAAAGATGATGATGATAATAAAATACCTTAAACTGAATAAAGCAGTTTCTTAGTATACACATGTGAACAGCATTGTGTACAGGTACCTAGCACATACACACATGTAATATCTAGTATGCTTGAACAAATGCAGTTTCCATTAACATAATTCTATCTAAAGATTAAGTGTGAACGGTTAACAGAAGTATGTGTCCGATCATAATAAAATGTCAACAAGCATTTTACATATGAAATTTACTGAAAATCTGAATTGTACGTTTCAAAAAGGTGATTAATGTAGCTTAGGCAGGTATATAAATACTAATAGTCTATATAGAGACTAACAGTAAAAATAATGACAGGCGCCTATATATATATATATATATATATATATAATATATAATATACATATATATACTGTATATATACATTTAAATATATATATATACTGTATATATAAATATTTTTATATATA